AGGCTCTGAACGCATCCACACAACCACCGGACATTGACGAGACGTAGCTTCATTTGCAGTGGGAGACTAGAACCACAATAACCCAACTTCGCTCTGGCTACTGCAGCAGGTTAAACACATACCTGAGCAGATTGAACGCAGATGTACCAAATGAGTGTCCGGCATGCGGAGACTCGAAACATCTTGACGACAACGACTGAGATATTAACCTCTACAACAACATCAAATGCAACTCATAGTAGGGGCCATAGGGCCGGTTACTCAATGTCTGGTTAATAGCCCAGTTATGCATACTTAGGGCCGGTTGCTCAAAGCCTGGTTGACACTAATCCCCGAGTAAACATCGTTATCGACGCTGCCAAAACCGTGTTATATGCATGGAGTCGATAACGATGTTAAACTGATGATTAGTGTCAACCAGGCTTTGAGCAAACCGAAGTTAGCTTTGCATGAGGGTTGTCACATAAGAATGTGTTAAGCGGGCTTTGCGTGTAATCGGTTACCCAACGCATAGCAATTAACATGTAGAATTCTGTTGGGTTTTGATTTTTACGTAAAAATGGTATAGCAGTGCAAGTATGCATAACTGGGCTATAACACTAATCTGCGTTTAAACATCGTTATCGACGTCTTCGACTCCATGCATACAACAGGGAGCCGGTAACGTCGGTTACTATGTTTAGGGCCGGCTGCTCAAAGCCTAGTTGACACTAATCCCCGGTTAAACATCGTTATCGACGTTACCGACGTCGTGTTATAAGCGTAGACATAGATAGCGATGTTAACCGATGCCGGTTAAACATCATTATCGACGTTTTCGACATCATGTATATAACATGTGATCGATAAAGCAGTCATTGTATTTAACCGGATCTTCTACCTCCGATTAGTGCTAATCAGACACAACCAGCCCTAAGACGTAAGCTGGTATCAGGCGATTTGTACACTTGAAGAATTTTTTATCGAGAATAAGTCGAGCTCCAAACAACGTTAACTGCAAGTACCAAAATGGACAAATCTGTACAAGTGAAAATTCCCTGCTTATCGAATAATTAACTAAAATTATAGTTAAAAAACTAAAAACACGCTTTTATTACAACAAGAACTAAAAAGTATAAAATAATTTATAAATATAGCGATTCCGTTTAAGAAGAATAGGAAGTTCCCTAAATTGATTTAATTTAACTTTTTTAAATTAGCTAAAAATAGGATTTAAGTGATTGGCCCGTAGTCATAGGCAAAATAAAGTCCACTGTAAAGTTAGTTGCAGCATATTGACATAATTTTCGATGCGATATCTGTAAAAAACTTCTTGTTGTAATAAAAGCGTGTTTTTAGTTTTTGAACTATAATTTTATTTTCTACTTTTTAGTTTTTTGAAATCTTGCAATTAATATTATACTGTCTGTATATTTCACATTCTGTCCATTTCTTTCAATGCGAAGAAAATTTTCCACACCGTTTTTTAGCTACACTTTTTACCTAACGTGCTAGATTTGACCTTAACAAACAAAATTTTCAATGCATTTCAATTAAATAGGTAATACATATATTCTGAATATAAACCAAATCGGAGCACAGATGCCGATTTTTTAATTATATAGACTCGCGCCGCACATAACTGCCAAAATTTTTTGTGTATTTCTTTTCGTGTAAGCAATATGCATTCGAAATGTGAACTTAATCGGATCATAAATACGGATTTTCCAAATATCTCGACTCCTGCGCCACCTATCAGCAATTTTTTTTTGCGGATTTATTTCTTTTCACGCAAGTAATATATGTTCTAAATATGAACCATATCGGACTATAAATGCGGGTTTTACAAATATCTCGACTCCTGCGCCACCTAGCGGATTAAGTCATCTTTTATATTGCATTGTCCTCGAATACTGAGCTAAGTTTGAAGTTTCAAGTTTGTTAAATATTGACTGCAAAGTTCCAGGACATACAAAGATACATACATACATACAAGTGAAGTTAAATAAAAACTTGTAATAAAATATATTCAGCCCTATTCTGCATTTCGATTATGCTCCCCCATTCCGCTTCGTAACAATCGTAACTTGGTATTCTGAGTTACGATCGAATCGAAAGAAGAAGAGGAAGAGCGAAGACATTTTCGAAATCAGCTGCTTGCCTAGGAATGTGTGAAATCGAAACGAAACAAAAGAAATGTTTACCACCAAACGATAGCGCTTTTGAAGTTAAAATTTGTAAATATTTTAAAATAAGCAAATATATCTTACATCATTGTAATCTAAAAATAAAATTACGTTTGTTCTTAGTTTAAGTGGAAACATAATTATAAGAATGAAATTTCTTATGGAGAAATATTTCCAAACATTCAGAATAAACCTTGGTTTCATAAAAATTCAAATAAAATGACACCAATAGAAGTTAAACAAATTAATAGAATTCTAACAAATCACACTTTCTGCAAGGAGACATTATCAAAAATGAATATTTTTCCAAACCCAAATTGCGAATTTTGTAATACAGTTGAGTGTAATTAGAAACGTTGTTTGAGCACTCCACAACATTTGCATTTACTATAGAGTGGAATTTGATTTTGAAAGGTAGGTCTCTCATATACTTATTAGTATGTTCCTTTGAACTTCGGACTAAAACCTGTGGAACTGTCAAACTACAATTTAACTCTCTCAAGTAAGAGTAAAAGGAGAACAGAAGCACTATTTCCTGTAAAAACGTCAGTCGGTTTGTTTACATGTCATTTGTGCAACACTGGCTGAAATATCACTAACTAATTATTAAAATCTACATATTCAAATATTTCGTTGTTTACTTCCATTTTTTTTTTTACAAATATAAGGTTCTTTGCTTTCACCGCTTTCTGTTTTTGTTTGCACATGCAAACCAGCTGATCGTTTGACACTTTTCATGAACTTACAGGAAAAAAACTCCGGACTAAATCCTGTAACTACTGACTAGGTTGCTCAGTTCCTCTCTCAAGTGTTCCCACTTACAGGTTTTATGTCAATGGGAACGAATTCCTGTAAGTTCTGACTAAATACTGTAAACCGGGCTGCTATTGGAACGGACTAACTATATGTATGTCGTTTGGATCGTTAAGTGGTTATGCACACAAAACAAATTTAATTTCCTTTTTTTTTATTTATTTTGTATTAATGAAATTATCTTATTACTTATAAACTAAGACATACCATTATTTTTTGATAAAACATAGATACTCAGGCAAGTTCTGGAATTCACTTCCGAGTGAATTTTAACTACATTCAATTTGAATTCAAAGTGGCTGTGGTTGAATTTCACTCGGAAGTGAATTGCAGAGGCAGGTTCTGCTAATTTCATTGACCACGAATTTTTTATGGGGTGGGAGCGTAATATATATATTTCCTTATGATAAAAATAATCATTTAATTAACTGTTAAATTTTTTGATAAAGAATAATCGTTATTTTTGGATCTATAAATGTTTTTGTGTCCATGCTTGATAGTTTATGTTTGATCATTTTTCGATTGAAAACAAAGGTTTTTGTCAATGTTATTGTGGCTTATTAACATTTTATTTTTAAATATTTTTATTGAGCTTTGTACCACGATTGTTTATTAGGAAAAATTGAAAAAGCAACAAAATCTAAGCGGTAGAAGTTATAGCAGGGCCATTCCATTGTGACTAGTGGGACATTTTACTCCAGATCAATTGTGAATTTTAACTATGTATGTCGTCGGAACTTATACAACTGCGAAAGATATTTTTTAACATAGAACGATAATTAATGTATAAAATTGCTTTAACAAAACTACCAAACGATTTCTTAGTTTTATTTAACTATCATTTGAATGAATGTGACTGGTGGGACATTGAAAAGAACTCTAGTTTACCCATGTGCACTTAACGATGAATTTTAGCCAAAACATTTAATTTTCACGAGCGATGTATTTGTGTTGTAAAATATGAATTATATGCTTTCGTTTTCATTAAAAATGAGGTTTATATAATCGTCATAGAAATATTAAAAATTATTTTAAGTTGTGACTGGTGGGATATCCCCTTGTGACTGGTGTAAAGTAATTATGCATGAAATAAAAGTTTCCATAGACATAAATTACAACTTCTTTTGATTTTTTTAATATATTCCCACAGCTTAATGAAATTTAGACATTTAAAAAGAGGTTACTACTGCAATAGAGATAATTAGGGCATATTTAAATGTATGTCGTTTCCTCCTTTCAATGGAATGACCCAGCAGCTATTTCGGAGATCACCACAACCCCTCATCAGACTTCTTTTTTTTTAGAGCTATGTATGGTTAACGCTTCTGTTTTTGCACATCCATTACGCAGGTTCGATCCCTGCTGAAGTCTAGAAAAAAAAAAGAAGTCTGATGAGATGTGGTGATCTCCGAAATAGCTACTATAACTTCTACCGCTTAAACTTTGTTGCTTTTTCAATTTTTCCTAATAATCGTGGTACAAAGCTCAATAAAAACATTAAAAATAAATGTTACCTTGAATTTATTTTAAGATCATGAAAAATTCTAAATGGCCATAAGAATCAAGTATGTATATACCCATTTTATTTTATGTGTCAATTACGGATAGCAAGACAACCACGGTTCGGTTGCCTGCTGGCAACGCAACTGAGAAGAAAACTTGTATTATGAATGCCAACTATCGTCAGTTGCTGTAGAATTATCGATGACAGTTCGACAACCAGCAAGCGACTGTAACTAAGCTGCGCGAGTAAGACTAAATTATTAAAATGAAGTTTTAAAGAAAAGACAGCAATAAAGCTAAATCCATTACAATTAAATGCTTAAGAGGAAGAGAAGTGCATGAACGCGGACTAAATTAGGCGACATTTAAAGGAAAATTCCAATCCTCTAGAGCTACCGCGTGCACTGTAAACAAAAGTTAATGCTTTCAAGGTTTTTCTTTTATGATGGTTTTGTGTTCATTTTCAAAGCATATTGAGGACTTGCAAAAGAAGCTGTAGTATAATTGGTTAATAAACAAATGAACCACTTCGTTCAACTTCAATACCTCCGCTCATAAAAGCTTGCGCACCCGTTCGATTTTTCGTAGAATGAAGTGTCAGCGATGACTTTAATTAGGAAAACTTGGTGTGTCGGTAGTTTTAAAAGAGGCGCTTCAGTTGCTAAAGGAGAAAATTTGCAATCAGTGTTCGCTTTTGTTTCGCCAAAAGGACGTACTACACGGGAATTAAAATTTCAAGTTATTGTTTTGTTATTTTCTCCAAATTCTGTGAAAGCAAACTGCATTCCAAAATGTTAATATCGTTCAAATTATTAAAAAGTAAAATATTTAACACACTTCAATTTTCGCTTCTAAATATTGATATCGATAATCGACCCATTATCTCGATTATAATGATTAAAACCGGTCGATCATACAAGTTTTTTATGATCCATTAAAAAATTAAAATCTGAAATCAACGGTTATAATCGAAAAAATAAAAATTACTAATCATCAAAATATGATTATTCTTGATCAAAATATAAAATGATTAAATATAACAGAAATAGCAGGTCTTGCAAAAAAAAATCTCTCGATGAGAAAGTGAAAACCAGTCTCTCGAATTGAATATTTTGCCTCCTTCATATATATGTACATATTTGTATATGTATATATATATCTTCAGTAGTCAACGCTGAAATCCGAGTTAAAAATGGAACTGTACTTCATTTAACTTAAAACTAAAAAATGTTAATTTCACCTACGTGCCTGCATTCTTAGGTGGTGGTCTATATACGCCAACAACAACAGCGTGATCGCGTTCATAAGGCTCCAACGTAATCTGCTCCTGTGGTTTCAATTTATCTGCCTGCATTTTTTTGACTTCAGCTGCGAATACAGCCTCAGGTTGCGCAGTAGAATCAATACAAGATGCCTTTATAGATATAACAAAATGTCCGTCGTTCTTAAGAAAATGCTGAGCATTTAACGCTACTATGCGACCCTGGTCTGGTTGAGCGACATCTGCAAATATCGTATCCACCATGCCAACTAGCATGCGGTATTTGTGGGGATGGCGAGCATCTTCAATGATAGGAATAATGTTTGTACGTTTCTTAGCAACGTTAATTAGATCGCGACCGGAACGATGCGAGAACTCCACGGCATATACAAGACCTTCGGGGCCAACTACATCCGATACATGGGACACTGTTGTGCCTGAAGCACCTCCAAGGTAGAGAACTTTCGACCCTGGGGGCATGTGAATCTTATCCACGCCACCTAATATTGCTGCTGCTAGTTTCGACCGAAAAGGATTCCACACGCGGTACTCAATTTTTTCGCCATTACTCTGAAATATGAATGTCTATTATAACTAAAATAAGAAATAATGAAAATTAAGTGTTTTTTTTTCTTTCTTTTTACATCAGTTGGGCATCATTCTAAAGTTTTGCTGAATTAAATCTCGCACAAAGGTCTCAAACCAAGCGATTTTTATTTTTCGGCAAAGCTTCACGGCCACATATTGCCGTGTTCTGTACCCCTGCACAATCTCATCATAGTTACTAATTAAATGGTTGTAATAAAAAATACGAAACATACCTCAACAGATATACGTTTCTCGCCGTAAACGTCTGACCCCGGGACAAAGTTGCGCGTTACTAAAGCATCTTCCTTTCCTCGAGCAATAAAAACGCCCTCATGGCGATGTGGCTCAATAACAACAGTTTTGCCTAAGGATTATAAAACTAATATTAATAATTCAATGTAAAACCACACATGCTAACCTCCTTTGAATCCTCCAGCACCACCTCCGCCCCGACCACCACGGCCGCCTCCACCTCTTCCTCCGCGACCACCATCTCCACCTCGACTGCCACGACCGCCAAAACCACCTCGTCCACCGAAACTGCTGCGACCACGATCACCACCGCCTCGACCGCCACCGCCGCGATCTCCTCCACCCCGACCACGGCCTCCAAAGCCACCTCGTCCACGACCGCCCCCGCCGCCACCTCCTCGTGGTGAAAAACCTTTAACATTTCATATTAAATTACAACTCTATCCGATTCGCCCAACTCGATTTTAATGTTTACCTGGTTTTCCCATGACTTAAAAAAGTATACTTAAAATATTATTTTATTATTATTATAGCTCAAACTTTTTCTTCGAACAGCGGAAAAATGCCATGAGGCTAGAAAGCAAGGAAAGAAACCAAAACACGTGTTGGTTTTAGGGATGTAAAAAAACATCGATGTATCGAGCGACATCGATGGTCGTTGCCGATGTTAAGTCAAAACATCGATGTTTTGAAAAACATCGAAAATGTTTCTTTACTAATTTTTCACCAAATTAGAACTTTCATGGTATGCATAAATTTGAATAAATAAATGTGAATATATAAGAACATGTTTAATTGCTTTAATACTAATGAAATTGTAAAATTCGTATCGATTCGCCCATAAACTCGCCATCGGATGAAAACCCGGCGGTACGTCTTAATGTCAAAATGATGTGTTTGTTGTAAAATGAATTCGCCTTGTTTACAACAAACACATCATTTTGACATTCAGTAGTACCGCGGCAAAAATTTAATTCGCCATCAACACCGCCTTGTATAAATTCGCCTTGATCTCTTCGCTGCGAATTTTTCGAACATTCACTGTTCCTTTCAAGGCGAATTTATACAAGGTGGTGTTGATGGCGAATTAAACAAGGCGAATTCATTTTACAACAAACACATCATTTTGACATTAAGACGTACCTCGGCGAAAATCTAAATTCGCCATCAACACCACCTTGTATAAATTCGCCTTGGTTCCTTTCTTTTGACGCAAGGCGAATTTATACAAGGTGGTGTTGATGGCGAAATTAGATTTTCGCCGAGGTACGTCTTAATGGCCCGTAGTCATAGTCAAAATAAAGTCGACATTAAAGTTAGTTGCAGCTTTTTTGACAGATATCCCATTGAAAATTATGTCAAAAAGCTGCAACTAACTTTAAAGTCGACTTTATTTTGACTATGACTACGGGCCATGGTCAAAATGATGTGTTCGTTGTAAAATGAATTCGCCTTGATTACAACAAACACATCATTTTGACATTCAGTAGTACTGCGGCGAAAATTTAATTCGCCATCAACACCACCATGTATAAATTCGCCTTGTTTTGACGCGTTCGAAACGAAACTTGCGACGTTTTGAAGGCGTCAAAGAAGAGGAAGGAAAGTGTCATAGCAATAAATGAAAACAAATAGTGTGTAATGTATAAAAACTAATAGAAAACGCTTGTAACAATCCTATTTTAGAATTCGCAACGTGTTTGCAAAGATAGAATCGCGCTAATGTGCGCTAATTTCTCGGGTTTTGCACAAAGTTTAGAAATTATATTTTTATGTTTTTTATTGTTGAGTGAACCATATTTTTATACAAAATCGGCGGAAAAATATAAAATCGGCAGTTTTTTTACAGCAAACATATGGCAACGTTATGGCATCGTTTCGCACAAACGCACAGCAAAGCAACAAAACAAACGCTAATTTTTGCATTTCGCATCAGTGTTGCCGCGAATATTTTTAGTGGTAGCTAAATTCCTTTAAAAAAGGGCTAAAAAAGAGCTAAAAAAAGTCGTTGTGGCTAAAAATGGCAGCCACGGGCGTAGCCAGGTAGGGGCAGGAGGGTGCTCGAGCCCCCCTAACTTTCAAATTTTTCTTATATATATATATATATATATATATATATATAAAATAGTACCCTGAAATGCCAGCTTAATAGGGTCAAGCCGCACCCCCTCTAAATTTCATTCTGGCTACGCCGATGGTGGTAGCTAAGTTTTTTTACTTACATATACATATATAAGTATACACGCAAACATTTTCAGTAAGTAGTGTTATAGAAAAACAATAAACTCTGGCAAAAAGTTAATTTATGCAGCGTTTTTGCTGCATTTAAAATGCAACATTTAGCACTTTCGAACATATGTTTTCGAAGAGCGTTCATGCTATCGCATTTAGCAAATGTACATTTACGCGAGTTCGAAATCGTATGCTTTTGACAAACAGCCGTGTTCCAGTCGCTTATTCAGATCCATATCTATTACGATCAATTATCACGCAGAAGATAATGTGCAAAACCCCTACTGAAAAGGAAAAAATAAATTTTATACCAAAACTTCAATACAAAAATTTGAATTGTTTTAACCATGACAGACCATTTGTTTATGTATGTATTCATTTGTCGGTGCTGTCAATTAAAATTTCCTTACTTTATTAGGAAACAAAACAAACAGAAATGATCACAAATTGATCCAGATTTCTATCAGCATCACATCGATATTGAATTTTCTTAACTTTTCTTTATCCAAATAATGTAAAATAATAAATGAATTCTCGATCGGCGATCACTGAAACGCAGCTAGCCACTGTATACTCGAAAA